AATGTTTAAAACTGTCCTTCTATTCCTCCTCATCCATCAACAGCATTCCCTGCAGCTGAAGTAGGAAGTGTGTGCACTGCCTGCCAAAACAACTCACTCCTGCAGGGCAACGAGCAGCGAAGAAGATGAACAAAACCAGATTGAGAAGAACAAGCCAAGAGAAGTGAGACCCAATGTGTTTATGAAATGAATTTGAATCTATATTTAACATATATGTATATATATATTAACATGGCATTCCTTTTGGTACCTGTAATAGCACTGCAATATAAACTGTATAAAGTTGTTGTTTCAGCTGCACATTCTCCTTCTCTACAACCTTCTCAACATGGCCTCTCTGTTTAAAACAGCTCCTCTTTGAGTGCCTTTTTATCCTGGGTTTGATACCCAGAGGAACCACACGCTTGGCGCCTGCTGGGGGCAGCCTGTTAACAGCATATCTGCTGCTAACACAACAATTACCCAAATATGGGATCAATATAGTATTTTTTTTTTTAATTGTCTAAACCTTTCCATCCTCAGAGTCAGCTGAGCCTCCTATTTATTAGTCAGCATCGCTGTTGTCTCAGTAGTAAACCACACATCTTAGCAGGTGTCACAACCGTCTGTCTCTTTTCTAAGTAAGACACACAGAAACAAGCGAGAATATCCCCAGACACTCAGGGTAAATTATTTGATAGTAACATTATAAATTCCCTGATCTACCTTAAAAAGATTTGTGTTACTGCATAGCAACAGTTAGCCTCTGAATTTCATTTGTTAATCTTTAATTTCTGAGCTTATGTGTGTCCTCACTGCAGAGGGGAGAAAAAGAGGAACCTAAAACCAGTACTTCCCCATGTTCATGATTATATAGTTCTTGTACTTTATGTTTAGAAAAGTCAGAGGTTCCATCTACACCGGGCAAATCCTCATTTACGCTGACCATTTAGCTTTCATGATGTCTTTACATATGACCAGTCACTAATGCAGGCATCAAATTCTTCAGTTTTTTAAATATTTTTATCTATGGCTGTACTTTAAGGCTGTATTTCTACAGGAAAGGAAACATACCGCCACAGTTCCAATCAGAACACAATGAGATGCTGCTCACATCCACTAACATCCCTTATGGCGTCAATGCATTTTGCTGTTTTTTTCCTCACACAATCTAATATTTTTGTATCATTGGAATACCAGATATTGCATGAAATATTTACACACTGGATTCAAAGAATGGCTTCAAATGTACCGGTCCAAAACATCTGTATGCCAACAGTAAGAGTTCTTTATTTTTTGTGAAGCCACTGTTTATACAATCCCATAAATAAACTTCCTCACAGGCCTGATACTGGAACTGTGATAAAAGGGTAAACCTGCTGCATATTTAATGATGTTTCCTCTCTCTGTGTTTGCCTCCAGATGAAGCAGCATTGCTGGCTCTCAGTAGATTTAGCATCCAGAAAGTGTGACTCAGGATTTACTTCAGTTACTGCCTCAAAAAGAACTTTAAAGCCTTGTCACCCTGACTGACTTCCTTATTGGAGGATTAAGCCTTTAGCTGGAGGCATCGGCTTTTCTACCATCACAGAGGAGCACTAACAGAGCACGGGGGGTGGGGGTCGGGGGGTGGCTTCAATGCAAAAGCAACACATGATATAACAAAATCGTTAGAATAATAAAAAATACTTGAAGTTCATACCAGTACCACCGTGAATATCCGGTAAGTAAAAATGACTTAAAAAAACTAAACTAAAATGGAGCAACTGGCATTGTTCTCCTCTTCACTGACTCACAAAGACGCAGCTGCCAATGAGATGTCTGATATGCAAATGCAGATTATGCGAAGCTCTCAGAGTAGCGGGATTGAATTTTATCTTTTATTTGATGTGAAGGTTAGACTGATCCATTTTTCCTCCACCAACAACTGCCTGCTGCTTATCTGCCACCTCAAATAATGTGTTTTCTTTTTCAAAGGATGAGAGCAATGGCATCAGCACTTCAAAAGAGTTCAACGCTGGTATGGGAAATGGACAGAGATAAAGGATTCAAACATGAAGAAGGTAAGTTTGGAGAAAGAAGTACACAGGAAAAACTAACTGTAATGACCAGATAGTATTATTGTCCAATCATCACAGTAACTGTCATCATTTGAGTTGTATCTGACTGCAACATTGACCATTTAAAGGCCCATACTGATAAGAGCTTCAGTTGCCCTGAGAAAAAAAAACTCCCACAGCTTCCAGACAACAGACAGTGTTTAAACTGAACTTAACTGAACACTGAAGTTCATTCTGTTTATGCTCTGATGGGGAAAATGTGGAAAAGTCCAAGTGGGAAGTTGTAGGAAATTAAAAAAAAGTTTTCTATTCAATTCCTAGACTTCCTGGAAGAGGCAACTATTCAGGGTCACATGGTCATTTTAAGATATATAAAACTTAATTTTGTGACATCATATAAGATATAGAATTATTTGATGTTATAACAAGGACTGGAGCTACAAATTTGACGATCAGTTTGTCTGTATCTGACAAGCATGTTTTCTTGTGTGCAGGCACAGAGGCATTCAAAGTAAGCGCGTCACATTATGGCGGATAAGAAGTCTACTGTGGATTCTGTACAGGGGACCAAGGTGAAGATAAAGGCAAGTACAACTGGTGGTCACACTTTTTACATCCTTTTTTGGTCTGAGAAAGTAAAACTAAGTACACGTCATCACACCTGCTCCACATGGTTGTTTGGGAAGTGAAAGTAATCGTGACAGGAATAGAAAAACAAATCTAAACAGCAGGTGAGTTGACGGGTAAGAGGAAGTACAACTATCATATGATCTACATCCTCATATCTGTGTACTGTAGAACTATATCAACCAAGGCTTTAGGTAAACTATGACAGAATATTCAGGTTTTTCACTTTTCAGTCAAAGCCAAAGACCAATCAAATCAGCCATTAAACCAAGGTAGCTTGTTGCTAACAAAACAACATAATGTCACTGTTTTCTTTTATCCAATATCAGCGGTGTAGGTATTGGGGGAATGTTAAATATGTAACAACTGCAAAAAAAAAGTGAATTCTATATATTTCTGTAATTTGACTACAGTATTTAAATCTCCACACTACGTAAACCCCTACAACAGGAGTCACTAACTATATTATACTGTACTATACTATATAAAATACAACAGTTCCTCACATACAAACCGTCAATGTTCCACATTCTAAAAGACAATATATTCAGTCTTTACTCGTGAGCCTCGAAAGGAAAGAGTTGGCGTCTGCCTCCCTCACAGGCTGAGCTTTTACTGCTGCTGGGAGCTTATCGAGACATGCAGGTGGCTGCTTCCCTCTCTACTCATGTGCACGCCTCAGCACACACACACTCTTACACACTCTGCTAAGGCTAAGCAGAAACAGGAACTAGGATTGAGGTCTGACTGTTGTAATTCTTCTCTAATAGCATTTTGAGATTTTCAGAAATTTCCCTGACCTTTAGGCAAATTAGGTTTCAATGTAAAAATATTTTTTATACAACATAATCCAGATCAGGGTTTTTTTTCTTGGTATCAGGGGACATTTAGAACATAAAGACAATGGTGAAGTGTGACATCTCATTCTCTATTGTCAGCTTGTTACCTTACACTGTATTCATCCATTTATCTATCAGTAGGCCATTAGATTTCCAACCACACTGCCTCCATAACGAATCAAATGAAAAATAAATGAGGACATGACCTCTTTCAGAATAACCCCTTATATAAGAAAGCAAACCAAAAAAATGGAAGTAGGCCGGATGAAACTATTCTCAATATTTGCTTCTAAATAATGCCTGTTTATACATTTTTGAAGGATCGCTTTCTAGATGTGTCATATTTAAATAGTTTTCCCACATAGCATCAGTTCCTATAGTACAAAACGAATAACAAATGACAGAAATCTTAAGCAACCCATTCCAGAATAGGGTTTCTTAAGCAGTAACTGATAAGAAAGAAAAACAAATTTACCTTCTGTAAATCAAATTAGAAAATGTGTTTTCCTTTGCAGTGAGTCTGACTAATGTGCCAGTCATATTCCAGTAAAGATAACATTCTAATAAAGGCTAAAGAGTTCTGAAAGCATTTCCCACACTAAGGTCTGTGCACTGACCTGTCGGGCCAACCTGCGGGCTTCCCAGTAAGGCTTAGACTCATCAATGGCCTTCCCAATCTTCTTCACCAGTTCATCCAGCTTCACTGTGGCCTCCACCAGGACGGAGCGGAACTTCTGCCTCGCTTCCTGTTCAAACGACAAAAAAATAGTTTAATATAAGGTTAAATTCCTATAAAAGTCAAAAATCATTACCCTTGATTATGCAAAGGAAAGGCCATTGACCTTGTATAATAATACATGTCAAACATAATTATTTTTAATAATAATAATAATAAGCATAATCATTATCATTATTATTAATAATAATAATAAGAAAAAGAAGAATGACAATAATAATATAAAGAATTAGCAAGTGAAACATTCATAGCTAAACATTAACATTAGCCTAAGGCAAAACACTGCCTAGAAATAATTGTTATTCATTTAATGGCTACAGTTACAGATAGTTATAGATAATATCCTTATATATAGATAATATATCCATAAAAATAAAAAGTCCCCGAAATGCCTTAAAATGCAAGACTAGGTCCTAAAACATGCTGCCAAGTGATTATTTTGTGTTTTAAACTCCAAAAAGTATTTTTTATGAATATTTAAAAAATCACCCAAAACATGCCTTACTATAGCCTTACCATCGTGAAAATATCCATAAAAATAAAAAGTCCCCGAAATGCCTTAAAATGCAAGACTAGGTCCTAAAACATGCTGCCATGTGATTATTTTGTGTTTTAAACTCCAAAAAGTATTTTTTATGAATATTTAAAAAATCACCCAAAACATGCCTTACTATAGCCTTACCATCGTGAAAATATCCATAAAAATAAAAAGTCCCCGAAATGCCTTAAAATGCAAGACTAGGTCCTAAAACATGCTGCCATGTGATTATTTTGTGTTTTAAACTCCAAAAAGTATTTTTTATGAATATTTAAAAAATCACCCAAAACATGCCTTACTATAGCCTTACCATCGTGAAAATATCCATAAAAATAAAAAGTCCCCGAAATGCCTTAAAATGCAAGACTAGGTCCTAAAACATGCTGCCATGTGATTATTTTGTGTTTTAAACTCCAAAAAGTATTTTTTATGAATATTTAAAAAATCACCCAAAACATGCCTTACTATAGCCTTACCATCGTGAAAATATCCATAAAAATAAAAAGTCCCCGAAATGCCTTAAAATGCAAGACTAGGTCCTAAAACATGCTGCCATGTGATTATTTTGTGTTTTAAACTCCAAAAAGTATTTTTTATGAATATTTAAAAAATCACCCAAAACATGCCTTACTATAGCCTTACCATCGTGAAAATATCCATAAAAATAAAAAGTCCCCGAAATGCCTTAAAATGCAAGACTAGGTCCTAAAACATGCTGCCATGTGATTATTTTGTGTTTTAAACTCCAAAAAGTATTTTTTATGAATATTTAAAAAATCACCCAAAACATGCCTTACTATAGCCTTACCATCGTGAAAATATCCATAAAAATAAAAAGTCCCCGAAATGCCTTAAAATGCAAGACTAGGTCCTAAAACATGCTGCCATGTGATTATTTTGTGTTTTAAACTCCAAAAAGTATTTTTTATGAATATTTAAAAAATCACCCAAAACATGCCTTACTATAGCCTTACCATCGTGAAAATATCCATAAAAATAAAAAGTCCCCGAAATGCCTTAAAATGCAAGACTAGGTCCTAAAACATGCTGCCAAGTGATTATTTTGTGTTTTAAACTCCAAAAAGTATTTTTTATGAATATTTAAAAAATCACCCAAAACATGCCTTACTATAGCCTTACCATCGTGAAAATATCCATAAAAATAAAAAGTCCCCGAAATGCCTTAAAATGCAAGACTAGGTCCTAAAACATGCTGCCAAGTGATTATTTTGTGTTTTAAACTCCAAAAAGTATTTTTTATGAATATTTAAAAAATCACCCAAAACATGCCTTACTATAGCCTTACCATCGTGAAAATATCCATAAAAATAAAAAGTCCCCGAAATGCCTTAAAATGCAAGACTAGGTCCTAAAACATGCTGCCAAGTGATTATTTTGTGTTTTAAACTCCAAAAAGTATTTTTTATGAATATTTAAAAAATCACCCAAAACATGCCTTACTATAGCCTTACCATCGTGAAAATATCCATAAAAATAAAAAGTCCCCGAAATGCCTTAAAATGCAAGACTAGGTCCTAAAACATGCTGCCATGTGATTATTTTGTGTTTTAAACTCCAAAAAGTATTTTTTATGAATATTTAAAAAATCACCCAAAACATGCCTTACTATAGCCTTACCATCGTGAAAATATCCATAAAAATAAAAAGTCCCCGAAATGCCTTAAAATGCAAGACTAGGTCCTAAAACATGCTGCCATGTGATTATTTTGTGTTTTAAACTCCAAAAAGTATTTTTTATGAATATTTAAAAAATCACCCAAAACATGCCTTACTATAGCCTTACCATCGTGAAAATATCCATAAAAATAAAAAGTCCCCGAAATGCCTTAAAATGCAAGACTAGGTCCTAAAACATGCTGCCATGTGATTATTTTGTGTTTTAAACTCCAAAAAGTATTTTTTATGAATATTTAAAAAATCACCCAAAACATGCCTTACTATAGCCTTACCATCGTGAAAATATCCATAAAAATAAAAAGTCCCCGAAATGCCTTAAAATGCAAGACTAGGTCCTAAAACATGCTGCCATGTGATTATTTTGTGTTTTAAACTCCAAAAAGTATTTTTTATGAATATTTAAAAAATCACCCAAAACATGCCTTACTATAGCCTTACCATCGTGAAAATATCCATAAAAATAAAAAGTCCCCGAAATGCCTTAAAATGCAAGACTAGGTCCTAAAACATGCTGCCATGTGATTATTTTGTGTTTTAAACTCCAAAAAGTATTTTTTATGAATATTTAAAAAATCACCCAAAACATGCCTTACTATAGCCTTACCATCGTGAAAATATCCATAAAAATAAAAAGTCCCCGAAATGCCTTAAAATGCAAGACTAGGTCCTAAAACATGCTGCCATGTGATTATTTTGTGTTTTAAACTCCAAAAAGTATTTTTTATGAATATTTAAAAAATCACCCAAAACATGCCTTACTATAGCCTTACCATCGTGAAAATATCCATAAAAATAAAAAGTCCCCGAAATGCCTTAAAATGCAAGACTAGGTCCTAAAACATGCTGCCAAGTGATTATTTTGTGTTTTAAACTCCAAAAAGTATTTTTTATGAATATTTAAAAAATCACCCAAAACATGCCTTACTATAGCCTTACCATCGTGAAAATATCCATAAAAATAAAAAGTCCCCGAAATGCCTTAAAATGCAAGACTAGGTCCTAAAACATGCTGCCAAGTGATTATTTTGTGTTTTAAACTCCAAAAAGTATTTTTTATGAATATTTAAAAAATCACCCAAAACATGCCTTACTATAGCCTTACCATCGTGAAAATATCCATAAAAATAAAAAGTCCCCGAAATGCCTTAAAATGCAAGATTAGGTCCTAAAACATGCTGCCAAGTGATTATTTTGTGTTTTAAACTCCAAAAAGTATTTTTTATGAATATTTAAAAAATCACCCAAAACATGCCTTACTATAGCCTTACCATCGTGAAAATATCCATAAAAATAAAAAGTCCCCGAAATGCCTTAAAATGCAAGACTAGGTCCTAAAACATGCTGCCATGTGATTATTTTGTGTTTTAAACTCCAAAAAGTATTTTTTATGAATATTTAAAAAATCACCCAAAACATGCCTTACTATAGCCTTACCATCGTGAAAATATCCATAAAAATAAAAAGTCCCCGAAATGCCTTAAAATGCAAGACTAGGTCCTAAAACATGCTGCCATGTGATTATTTTGTGTTTTAAACTCCAAAAAGTATTTTTTATGAATATTTAAAAAATCACCCAAAACATGCCTTACTATAGCCTTACCATCGTGAAAATATCCATAAAAATAAAAAGTCCCCGAAATGCCTTAAAATGCAAGACTAGGTCCTAAAACATGCTGCCATGTGATTATTTTGTGTTTTAAACTCCAAAAAGTATTTTTTATGAATATTTAAAAAATCACCCAAAACATGCCTTACTATAGCCTTACCATCGTGAAAATATCCATAAAAATAAAAAGTCCCCGAAATGCCTTAAAATGCAAGACTAGGTCCTAAAACATGCTGCCATGTGATTATTTTGTGTTTTAAACTCCAAAAAGTATTTTTTATGAATATTTAAAAAATCACCCAAAACATGCCTTACTATAGCCTTACCATCGTGAAAATATCCATAAAAATAAAAAGTCCCCGAAATGCCTTAAAATGCAAGACTAGGTCCTAAAACATGCTGCCATGTGATTATTTTGTGTTTTAAACTCCAAAAAGTATTTTTTATGAATATTTAAAAAATCACCCAAAACATGCCTTACTATAGCCTTACCATCGTGAAAATATCCATAAAAATAAAAAGTCCCCGAAATGCCTTAAAATGCAAGACTAGGTCCTAAAACATGCTGCCATGTGATTATTTTGTGTTTTAAACTCCAAAAAGTATTTTTTATGAATATTTAAAAAATCACCCAAAACATGCCTTACTATAGCCTTACCATCGTGAAAATATCCATAAAAATAAAAAGTCCCCGAAATGCCTTAAAATGCAAGACTAGGTCCTAAAACATGCTGCCAAGTGATTATTTTGTGTTTTAAACTCCAAAAAGTATTTTTTATGAATATTTAAAAAATCACCCAAAACATGCCTTACTATAGCCTTACCATCGTGAAAATATCCATAAAAATAAAAAGTCCCCGAAATGCCTTAAAATGCAAGACTAGGTCCTAAAACATGCTGCCATGTGATTATTTTGTGTTTTAAACTCCAAAAAGTATTTTTTATGAATATTTAAAAAATCACCCAAAACATGCCTTACTATAGCCTTACCATCGTGAAAATATCCATAAAAATAAAAAGTCCCCGAAATGCCTTAAAATGCAAGATTAGGTCCTAAAACATGCTGCCAAGTGATTATTTTGTGTTTTAAACTCCAAAAAGTATTTTTTATGAATATTTAAAAAATCACCCAAAACATGCCTTACTATAGCCTTACCATCGTGAAAAT